TTTAAAAAAATTAAAGCTCTAATATTAATTAGGAAGATTTGTAAACTAACTAATCAAAATCAAATTAAACTTCACTTCAATTTTTGAAACATTTTAACATTTAATTCATAGTTCTCTAATTGCGTTGTCTGAGCATATTGACTCCTTCCACAAGAATACCCTCTGAGACACTTTAACCACAAGAGAATTATCAAGTAATGATGACAATTCATGATAGTGGCGAGTAGGACTTAGCAGAAGCCTACCATTCCTTAAAATTAGTAAAATTGACGTGAATTTTGCTATATGATAATTTGAGAGTAGATTTTAATTGAAGCTCTCAGCTTGTCTCTCCTAATTTATTTGATAATGTAACTTTTAATTGCTCAGCATCAAAAACCAATGGAGTTTGGTTCTCTTTTTTCTATTTCAATTCCCCATTGTCGGTTTGTTTTCAGAAAATTTTAAATTGATTCGGATTTTTTTTCCATTTTAGTAATTATTGTTTCCTCATCTCTTGGGCGTTGCCCGATAATATTATTGACAATGTGGGCTTGTGTGAGTTGGCCCAGCTTTAAGCTTCTTTTTTTTTTCTTGGATTTAAGCCTATAATATATTTTAATTTCTTATTTTACACTTAACTTTTTTTTTTCTTTTTGATGGATGGATAGGATGTGGTTTTAATAGAATTTATATAAATTTTTATTTTTTTGTACAGAAAAGCATTTAAATGTATAATAAAAGAAGTTTTTTGGACTTAATTAAATATTCTTTAAAAGTTGAGGGACTGTATTAGGAGAAGAAAAGTCACTTTCACGGATCTAAGTGAATAAAACTAAATTGCTCATTGTATATGGCTGTAGGATGAAATAAACAAGAGTGCCGCTACCCACGTTGTAGTGTCCACACAAAGCATTTTTACCTTGGAAATTTTTCATTTTTGTTACATGCCCAAGTTTTTCTAATGGGATATTCTTAAATTTTATAAGATATTCATCATTATAATAATCATTATATTAATTAAAGACATAATTTAATAAAGAATAAATAGATGTTCTAATGAATTAAAAGACAATCAAGAATTAAAATGTTTTTAAATAAAAATATATTTAAACAATACAAATTAAATCATCTAATATTATCTATGTTATGTTCAATAGAGTAGTATATGTATAGGGATTATTCAACAAAAATGAAGAAAAAACACACACAATGAAGTAACGATTTGAAGTTATACTTAATTACATATATATCCACGAAAAGATGGCAAAAGGCAAAAGAAAACATATGGTAAAATGAATTTTGAGTAAAAATAATGTAGCTAGCAATATCTATAGCTGGGGATTAAGA